TTTGGCATGCCATTATCAAGCAAATGTCATCCCAAATGGATGTGTATATATAGTATGTCGATCTTCAAATACTCGCTCGGATCTTCAAGATAACAAAACATTCCCTGATGGGTGTAAAAGGTAAACACATCGGAGTGGTGACCAAGGCATCAGACATGAGACACTAAAGTTGAAGTTCCTCCTTGTGAACATGTGACGTCATCGATATGGATGTGTGCGCTGGCACTGCGTGAATTGTGGTGACACGTGAAACTGGGATCGTTGTTGATTGGATATGTGTATAGTGACGGGTGGGAGATGTGTATAGTGACGGATGGGAGATGTGTATAGTGATGGATGGGAGATGTGTATAGTGACGGGTGGGAGATGTGTATAGTGATGGATGGGAGATGTGTATAGTGACGGGTGGGAGATGTGTATAGTGACGGGTGGGAGATGTGTATAGTGATGGATGGGAGATGTGTATAGTGACGGGTGGGAGATGTGTATAGTGACGGATGGGAGATGTGTATAGTGATGGATGGGAGATGTGTATAGTGATGGATGGGAGATGTGTGTAGTGACGGATGGGAGATGTGTATAGTGACGGATGGGAGATGTGTATAGTGATGGATGGGAGATGTGTATAGTGATGGATGGGAGATGTGTATAGTGACGGATGGGAGATGTGTATAGTGATGGATGGGAGATGTGTATAGTGATGGATGGGAGATGTGTATAGTGACGGGTGGGAGATGTGTATAGTGACGGATGGGAGATGTGTATAGTGACGGGTGGGAGATGTGTATAATGACGGATGGGAGATGTGTATAGTGACGGATGGGAGATGTGTATAGTGACGGGTGGGAGATGTGTATAGTGACGGGTGGGAGATGTGTATAGTGATGGATGGAAGATGTGTATAGTGACGGGTGGGAGATGTGTATAATGACGGATGGGAGATGTGTATAGTGACGGGTGGGAGATGTGTATAATGACGGATGGGAGATGTGTATAGTGACGGATGGGAGATGTGTATAGTGACGGGTGGGAGATGTGTATAGTGACGGGTGGGAGATGTGTATAGTGACGGGTGGGAGATGTGTATAGTGATGGATGGGAGATGTGTATAGTGATGGATGGGAGATGTGTATAGTGATGGATGGGAGATGTGTATAATGACGGATGGGAGATGTGTATAGTGACGGATGGGAGATGTGTATAGTGACGGATGGGAGATGTGTATAGTGATGGATGGGAGATGTGTATAGTGACGAATGGGAGATGTGTGTAGTGACGGATGGGAGATGTGTATAGTGATGGATGGGAGATGTGTATAGTGACGGGTTGGAGATGTGTATAGTGACGGGTGGGAGATGTGTGTAGTGACGGATGGGAGATGTGTATAGTGACGGGTGGGAGATGTGTATAGTGACGAATGGGAGATGTGTGTAGTGACGGGTGGGAGATGTGTATAGTGACGGATGGGAGATGTGTATAGTGACGGGTGGGAGATGTGTGTAGTGACGGATGGGAGATGTGTATAGTGATGGATGGGAGATGTGTGTAGTGACGGGTGGGAGATGTGTATAGTGATGGATGGGAGATGTGTATAGTGACGGGTGGGAGATGTGTATAATGACGGATGGGAGATGTGTATAGTGACGGGTGGGAGATGTGTATAGTGACGGGTGGGAGATGTGTATAGTGACGGGTGGGAGATGTGTGTAGTGACGGATGGGAGATGTGTGTAGTGACGGATGGGAGATGTGTATAGTGACGGATGGGAGATGTGTATAGTGATGGATGGGAGATGTGTATAGTGACGAATGGGAGATGTGTGTAGTGACGGATGGGAGATGTGTATAGTGATGGATGGGAGATGTGTATAGTGACGGGTGGGAGATGTGTATAGTGACGGGTGGGAGATGTGTATAGTGACGGATGGGAGATGTGTGTAGTGACGGATGGGAGATGTGTATAGTGATGGATGGGAGATGTGTATAGTGATGGATGGGAGATGTGTATAGTGACGGGTGGGAGATGTGTATAATGACGGATGGGAGATGTGTATAGTGACGGGTGGGAGATGTGTATAGTGACGGGTGGGAGATGTGTATAGTGACGGGTGGGAGATGTGTGTAGTGATGGATGGGAGATGTGTATAGTGATGGATGGGAGATGTGTATAGTGACGGGTGGGAGATGTGTATAGTGACGGATGGGAGATGTGTGTAGTGACGGATGGGAGATGTGTATAGTGATGGATGGGAGATGTGTGTAGTGATGGATGGGAGATGTGTATAGTGAAGGATGGGAGATGTGTATAGTGACGGATGGGAGATGTGTGTAGTGATGGATGGGAGATGTGTGTAGTGACGGGTGGGAGATGTGTATAGTGATGGATGGGAGATGTGTGTAGTGACAGATGGGAGATGTGTATAGTGACGGATGGGAGATGTGTATAGTGATGGATGGGAGATGTGTATAGTGACGGATGGGAGATGTGTATAGTGATGGATGGGAGATGTGTGTAGTGACGAATGGGAGATGTGTGTAGTGACGGATGGGAGATGTGTATAGTGACGGATGGGAGATGTGTATAGTGACGGATGGGAGATGTGTATAGTGATGGATGGGAGATGTGTGTAGTGACGGGTGGGAGATGTGTATAGTGACGGATGGGAGATGTGTATAGTGATGGATGGGAGATGTGTATAGTGACGGGTGGGAGATGTGTATAGTGATGGATGGGAGATGTGTATAGTGACGGATGGGAGATGTGTGTAGTGACGGATGGGAGATGTGTATAGTGACGGATGGGAGATGTGTATAGTGACGGATGGGAGATGTGTATAGTGATGGATGGGAGATGTGTGTAGTGACGGGTGGGAGATGTGTATAGTGACGGATGGGAGATGTGTATAGTGATGGATGGGAGATGTGTATAGTGACGGGTGGGAGATGTGTATAGTGATGGATGGGAGATGTGTATAGTGACGGATGGGAGATGTGTATAGTGACGAATGGGAGATGTGTATAGTGACGGATGGGAGATGTGTATAGTGACGGATGGGAGATGTGTATAGTGATGGATGGGAGATGTGTGTAGTGATGGATGGGAGATGTGTATAGTGACGGGTGGGAGATGTGTATAGTGATGGATGGGAGATGTCTATAGTGACGGCTGGGAGATTTTGTCCTCAGATTAGTACATACACACAAGGCACGTAGATACGTTTATCCTAAACAGCATGTTTCATCGATTTACGCACATCTGTTTCACGGACAGTTAAATATGTCTGCAGACATTGAACATAATGACTCTCTCTTCATTTTGTGACAATTTACAGACGGTATGTATTCGAAGATCAAGCGACTGTAACAGATGGGTTACAGTTTCAAAGAACATCTTCAGTGTCTTCCTAATTATGGTTACCTTGTAGATTTTCGAATATTGGTATTTTACAATAGGAGGCAATGGAGAAACGGGACAGGTGTTTTTCTTTACAATATTTCATGTAGTTCACACGATGTTTCTAATTCCATCAAGGTTTGCCCTAATATCTTGTCCCCTACTTAAATAAGGATAAAATTATTTGAATATCATATTTCCTGTTGACTAAAGGTGTTGGATGACCATTAATAATCATGAATGCGTTTTCACGTTATTCGCCCAGTTGAAACAAAACTTATAATTATTTAAAAAGTTACTCCTATATATCATGCACAGTTAGAACAATTAAATTGTAAAAATGCTGACATTGCATTTCACAAAGATTCATTAAGGAGTAGTAATTGGAAAAAAAGGAATCATTACTGTCATATTATAATGTGTTTTATATTCGTTAAAGATGTCATGTCAGCTGAAATGTCATACTTTAGCGCACGTAACTACAGAAGAGTTTAATATCATGGCCCAGGAAAAAGTGTAAGGGATTTAATTACAAGCTGCAATACCGAGTTGAGCATGCCCCATTATTATTATTTATAGATAGAAATTAAAATGCAGCAAAGAGGGCTTGGGTGATCCTGACACAGTCAGGCTGGTTAGGCTCATCATCAGCTCAGGGTCCTTTCCCCCTCTACACGCAGCCCAGACAGCGAATGGGACTTCTCACAGGAAGCACTGTCTAGTCAAACTCACCCAGACCTTTTCGGAGAATGTGAAGACTCCCCAACACTGCAGTCTTCTGCATTACCCAGATTGTCAGAAGGGCTGTATTCCTGGTAGCAAACCCGGGTACTCTCCCGATGTCAGTCAACAGATTGGGAGTTACCAAACCTAAGGCACCGAGAACAATGGGGAGTCGGACAACTTGGTACTTGGGATGCAAGCGTGACATTTCAAAAGTGAGGTCCGCATATTTGCCATTTTTTTCCTCAATCTTGTCAATCACATTAGTGTCAAAGGGGACATAAAATTCAATGATATAAATGATTTCATTGGATTTATCAAAAGGGACAAGATCAGGTTTGTTGGCCTGGATACATCTGAGGCTGTAAAGGGGCCTATTCCAAAGAATTCTGTATTTATCATTTTCCATGACGCCCTCCACATATTCCGGGTTGTACCATGGGTGGACCTCTGTGTCAAAACCACAAGCATTGCGAAGACGGTAATAAAATGATCGAGCTACACCATCATGTCGTTTAAGATACTGTGTTTATGCCAAAGCTGGGCATACACTGACAATGCGTTGGACAGTCTCATTAAATTCAGTTCATAATCTGCATTTCATATTTACATTTTGATGCCGACTTGATATGGCAATTCGCTTGGTTGACACACATTTCTGTACCGTCCAGCAGTACTGAACCATCAACAAAATCAACACCGACATTGAGATTATGTCCCACATCCTTTGCTCGTTTTAGAATTATATATTTATTATTATTATAATTATTTTTATTTATTTTTTATTATTATTTTTATTGATTTTATTTGATTTGATTTTTTTTAATTATTATTATTTTATTTTTTTATTATTATTATTATTATTTTTATTATTATTATTATTATTATTATTATTTGTGCATCCCACTTTCCTCGTGCTCTATTGTTACGAAATCCATCAGTTTTATCTAAAATCAGAATATCGAGAAACGCAGTTGATTCATAATCCATGTTTGTAATATGAGCCTAAGCCTAAGCAGACACGGGGGAGGAAAACAAGACACGCCGGCATGTCGGTAGCTCGCCCGTCTATAGTAAGCCTTTGAGTATCTCGTTGAGCGATCAATTAGAGCAGTTGGCAGAACCTCAACAGCGGTTGAGATAGTCAGTGGCTACGGAAATACAACACGAAGTAATTGATTTGATAAGCCTCCGAGTTCCACTAAGGTCTCTCTCCCGTACGTCGGACCCTCGACGTCCTCAGTAACAACACACGACGACTACTGCAGCGGACGTTGTTAGCTGGACATGGCTTAGGTGAGACCTTTGGCAGATTAAAATAGTCATTCTAAACGGTAAACTCAATCTCTTTGTATGCTCTGTTTAATGCAACATATGTGCTTATGTTTATTAGGAAATATATTGAGTTTATAATATAAGCGTTGGCACAGTGTTATTGTGTAATTATGACTGGGAGTTGAATTACGTACATTATTGTTTTTTAATAGATTTCCGTTATTGGGATGATATATACTTGTAATGTGTTTGATGGAATTTGTGTTCGAATGTTAATAGGTGTTTTTGAGACACTATGTTAAATAAGTTATGTTTCGACATAGAGGGAAATATGGAGACAGGCGATAACGTCATGTAATTTACCCGAGAGTGTTGTACAGGAGGTTCAGCTGTACTCATTTTTGTTGAACACGGTCTGGAAGGTTAAATTATCTTGTTTTGTGCATGCGGTTACGTGGTTAATTTATCATTTTCATTCGTTGTAAGGACACTTTATCATTGTCATACCCGAGGCTGTAAGGACACTTTATCAATGTCATACCCGAGGCTGTAAGGACACTTTATCATTGTCATACCCGAGTTTGTAAGGACACTTTATCATTGTCATACGTACCCGAGGTGGTATGGACACTTTATCAATGTCATACGTACCCGAGGTGTTTAGGACACTTTATCAATGTCATACCGAAGGTTGTAAGGACACTTTATCAATGTCATACGTACCCGAGGTTGTAAGGACACTTTATCATTGTCGTACCCGAGGTTGTAAGGACACTTTATCATTATCATACCCGAGGTTGTAAGGACACTTTATCATTGTCATACCCGAGGTTGTAAGGACACTTTATCAATGTCATACCCGAGGCTGCAAGGACAATTTATCAATGTCATACCCGAGGTTGTAAGGACACTTTATCATTATCATACCCGAGGTTGTAAGGTCACTTTATCAATGCCATACACGAGGTTATAAGGACACTTTATCATTGTCATACCCGAGGTTGTAAGGACACCTGATCAATGTCCTAACCGAGTTTGCAAGGACACTTTATCATTGTCATACCCGAGTATGCAAGGGCACTTTATCATTGCCATACCCGAGGTTGTAAGGACACTTTATCATTGCCATAAACTAGATCGTAAGGACACTTTATCATTGTCATACACGAGTTTGCAAGGACACTTTATCAATGCCATACCCGAGGTTGTAAGGACACTTTATCAATGTCATACACGAGTTTGCAAGGACACTTTATCAATGTCATACACGAGTTTGCAAGGGCAATTTATCAATGTCATACCCGAGGATGTAAGGACACTTTATCATTGTCATACACAAGGTTGTAGGGACACTTCATCATTGTCATACCCCAGGTTGTGAGGACACTTTATCATTGACATACCCGAGGTTGTAAGGTCATTTTTCAATGCCATACACGAGGATGTAAGGACACTTTATCATTGTCATACACGAGGTTGCAAGGACACTTCATCATTGTCATACCCGAGGTTGTAAGGTCACTTTATCATTGTCATAACTCAGGTTGTAAGGTCACTTTATCAATGCCATACACGAGGATGTAAGGACACTTTATCATTGTCATACCCGAGGTTGTAAGGACACTTTATCATTGTCATACCCGAGTTTGTAAGGACACTTTATCATTGTCATATCCGAGTTTGTAAGGACACTTTATCAATGTCATACACGAAGTTGTAAGGACACTTTATCATTGTCATACACGAGTTTGTAAGGACACTTTATCATTTGTCATACACGAGTTGCAAAGCCACTTAATAGTTTACATAAATGACGTAACAATGTCACTTTATCGTAGCTATACAAGAGGTTGAAAATGCTACTTTATCATTTTTTTTAAATTTATGCAAATTTGGTCTGAAAATATAATATTATACTCAATATGACTCTATGGTGTTCTATCACACAACGATATTGCCTTATGAACTGACCCCCAAAAGAAACTATACCAAGAACAAATTACTTCAGTTTCCTTATAATTTGGAGAGTGGAAATGACATGTTGCTTAAATATGTCGCCCAAATACAACCAAATAGGTTTTCAGCAACCAATGCTTGCCGCAAAAGGCGACTTTGCTTGTCGAAAGAGGCGACTAACACAGAACAAATGTCGCGTTTTTCAGAAGCACAGAGGGGCAATGCATAGCCTCGCATGACTGCATTGCAAAGAGTGTTTGATTGTACGTGTGTTCCAAGACCATGTTGATTGTCCCTTCACGGCAGAAAGGGCAGACAACTGACAGAATTAGGATTGGAAGACCACTTCACACGCCTATTTAAGACATCACTTGTGCGCATTCTCCATCTCCGAAACGACGACATTTGCATAGACGGCACTCGGCGATGTGACGTAAAGTGACGTGGAGTGACGTTAAGGCACCAACACCGACGTGACCGACCGAGATGTTTCAGGAGGTACGCCTTTGGCAAGTGCGGGACTGGGGAGTTTTATTCTCTGATGAGAGCACGTTTTGCCTGTTCAGAGATGGTGCAGGGATGTGAACACAGACGTCAAGGTGAACGCGTAGCGCCAGGATATTCAAGCGTATGGAGTAGATTGCGTTATGGTCTGGAGAGGAATCTGTGAGGACTTGGAATCAAGGTTAGTTATCATTCGAGGCAACCATAATGCACAGAGGTATAGAGATGAAGTTTTGCGACCCGTCCAGCTGCCATTTCTGTAACAGGAGCACGATATACTCTTCCAGCAAGACAACGCTAGGGGTCAAGGCTGACGCAAGACTTCCCCAGCAACATGGATATTCCTGTTATGTCATGACCTGCGTGTTCTTCTGACATGAACCCTATTGAACATTTGTCATGAGAATTGGTCTTCAGCAATCCATGCCTGTCGTAAGAGGCGACTGTGTTTGTCGTAAGAGCCGACCAACGGGATCGGGTTGTCAGGCTCGTTGACTTGGTTGATGCATGTCATCGTATCCCAATTGCGGAGATCGATGCTCATGATGTCAATCTCTGGATTGTCTGGTCCGGACTCGATTATTTACAGACCGACGTCATACAGCTTGAATATTGCTGAGAGCGGCGTTAAATTACAGCCAAACAAACCACCAGTAATGGACATGGAGCAATCTCTTCTGTATGCATGGTAACGGATTCCCACTGATGTCATCCGGCGCTTGACGTCGTAGACGCAGCGGCGTGATGTGGCGTGCATTGATGCACACGGTGGACATGCTCGCTATTAATCCAGTGTTTACTGACTCTCCAGAGACTTGACATATTGTTGTTGGACAGATGTTCTGACGGTGACATTTGGGATCGTCACATTTTGACACCCATGAATCTTTGAGTCACTGATACTCTAACAGTTGGCTTTTTTATTTTTTGAGTATATTTATTTTCACAACATGCTGAAACACCACTGTCATTAATATATATGTTTTGAAAACGGAACCTGATTTTGTCTTTCTTCTGTGTATTGGTATAGTTTCTTTTGGACGTCAGTCTATTATCAAAATACCGCTATCACCTCTCTACCAAACCTTCCACCACCCTGCCGCTATCCCCTCCCTACCCAACCTACCACCACCCTGCCGCTATCCCCTCCCAACCCCTCCTTCCACCACCCTGCGTTATCTTCTGCCCTTCCCGCAACCCATCCCCGCCACTCTCTCCTCCCCCACATAATGCTGTGTTAAACCCGTCTCTCTCTCTCCGGCAGGACCGCTACTGGGAGGGAACTATGGTTGGAGAGCCAATAGACGGCCACGACTGGGAGACGGAAAGAATTAATGTTTGTAAGCTCACTCAACAGCAGAGGCTCTGCTAGAGTAATTGTACAAGTTTATTTAGACTCCATCATATTACAACTTGAAGCAAATGAAAGCAATCTCACCATTCGCTTGAGGAATTGTGATGAAATATTCCTGTAATCATTGACCCAAGCCCCGAGGCGAGAATTGCCCTTGTGTCGAGGAGCCCAGCTGATCACCAGCATCATCAACACGTGGCTGTCCACATCAACACTACCCCCGGTCACAGCATGCCGACAGTTATCGTTTCTGTGAATTCATTCGTTCCAAAGGACGCCAGTAAAGATCATTCAAAAGGATAGTTTCGGGATATTCCTCTCCGCGATGGCTAACGTCAGTGGCAACCTCAGCGACAGGGACCATTACGATGCGTACGACTACTACGAGTACGAGTATGACTATGACGCCAGCGTCAACAACCTCCCTTTAGAAGAGTTTATCCCTTCAGTTATTGTCTACTCAATAACGCTTTTGGTCGGCGTCGTGGGCAACTCTCTCGTCATCTTCTCCATCGCTTACTACGGACGACAAAAAAACGTCACCAACGTGTTTCTTTTAAGTCTGGCGTCTGCAGATTTGTTGCTTGTCACTATTTGCGTCCCGATTAAGGTAAGATACAATGTACTTCGCAACTCATTACTTACATCATTACGGTGTAAACCGTTCAAAATAAATAGGGGATAGTTATAGTTCATGCATCAGAAGCACATGCATGTGACTTTGTCCTAAATATGTCTTTGTTCACCCAGCAGTAAAATGGGTACCAGGTAGGATGAGATGAAAATGTGTTTGTTATCCTCTTGGCGACTGACACGGCCGCTTGGGATGTTACTTCCCAGGGAGCTGAGAATGAAAATCGAATGTACACTGATCCATTGACCGGGGTAATATGTTTAGCGCTTCGAGCATACACCGAGTGTATGGAGGCCGGCGCAAAATAAGAACACACATTATCATTATACATATTGATATGATTCGGTTACACAACATGCATTTCGTTGCCTGAGGATTATGTTCTATTGACTGACATAAATACGTATATAGAACATATAATTTTCAATCAGCGGAGTGCATCATGACATTATTTTCAGCTATTGAGATGATATTTGATATATAAAATGATGTAAGATTTGCACAGTATGCAGTCATACTGTAATCAATTTACACATATATTATTGTTTGAGTATCCCCACTTTGTCAGTGTCAACAAACATCTGCTTCGATCCCAACATCGTTGAAGTGATAGGCTTAATTGAAGTGACTTTGTTTTGATACGGATATTTTAACATCAACGTATTGCGAAGTTATTGTGATTAATGGATGATTTAATATACCTAACCTCTCATTTGCGGATTTGTATTTTATTTTGGTATTTAAGTTATAATTGAATTAATTTTAGCTGGAGAACGGGTCATGTATGTCCGAAGAGCTTTTCAACCACGTTATTGACTGAACTGTCGATGTGTGATAACGATTATATCTATTGGTGAATTGGTTATCCATCGTATATATAATATAGGCGCATGACATCACAATAACGTTGACGTATTGCGTCATAGTGACACTTAAATATGACGCCACAGTGGCTCTTCCAACGAGTTCAATAGACAGTTTTACGACATAATATTCTAAATAGTTTGTTTGTTTGTTGTTAACGCCGCACTCAGCAATATTCCAGCTATATGACGGCGGTCTGCAAATAATCAAGTCTGGACCAGACAATCCAGTGATTGACATCATGAGCATCGATCCAGCCAATAGGGATACGATGACATGCATGAAACAAGTCAGCGAGCCTGACCACCCGATTCCGTTAGTTTCTCTTACGACAAGCAAAATATTTTGGATAGAATGCTGGTGGCTCAAAGAATCATGTCGGACAGCTAGACTAAGACTGAATCTCTGAAATGAGATTATTTTTAAAAAGAATCATTTAGTCTCTGTAATGATTATGTTTTAAACACGTGGGAAATCCGGATACGTATACAGGTACCCAGGGGCTATGCTTGTCGTAAGAGGCGATTAAATGGATCGTGTGGTCAGGCTCGGCGACTTGGTTGATAGCGTGTCATCGTATCACAACTGCGTGCACAGATACTCATAATATCAATCACTGGATTGTCTGGTCCTGAGTCGATTGTTTACAGACCACCGTCATATAGCTGGAATATTGCTGAGTGTGGTGTTTAACAACAAAGAAAGAAAGGAGAAAAAAGAAAATATTTTAGGTTTATTTTTGTCAAAATTGTCTTGACCATAAATAGAGAGGAGCCCCAAGATAGGGTGAATTCGTACCCCGTTTGCTTGGATCGATGCTTATGATGTCAATCACTAGCTCGCCTGGTCCAGGCTCAACCATTTACAGTCCACCGTGAAAGAGCTGCAATATTGTGGCGAAAACTAGACTTGCTTGAGAATATTCGTATATTCGTTTCAAGTTCTGTATGAGAAACTATAGTTAATTGGACACCGTGCCCCGTTTTTTAAGTGTAAACTTATTACACCAACGTTCTTCTCCTAACGGCCAGATAGATGGACGTGTCTCTATTATATATACACACCAAATAAGCCCAACAATGTCTCAGAAGTGGTTTGCGTACGACTGGCATAGCCTAGGGTCCATGCAAGACTATTTGATAACTGGATTATATCGCAGAGGGTACTTCAGCCCCTTGTATACCATGGCGTTTCCGTTTGATCTCTAGAAGGTTATCTTTAGCACGGTGCCCGTACATAGAACAGAGAGATCGACATAACGAGGCCGTACTCTAGCCGAGGCAACAAATACGTGGAAATGGCAATAGTGTAAGTTTACTTCAGGATGTTCTAGTTTCATTCTGTTTGTTTCCATTAGCTAGATTTTTTTGTAATTAAATGCAGGCTTTGTTGCTGAAATATAAACACCGTGAGCATTACTATTGAACAGAAAAATTTCCAATAAGTTTGTTTGGGAATACTATGGTTAGGAAATATTCGTTTCCCCGGTGAAGGTTTAAGTCCTTGTGTGTGTGTGTGTGTGTGTGTGTGTGTGTGTGTGTGTGTGTGTGTGTGTGTGTGTGTGTGTGTGTGTGTGTGTGTGTGTGTGTGTGTCTGTGTGTCTGTGTGTGTTAACTTGGGCCCACTTGTTGAGTACACATGTGCTTGTTAACGGTTTATATGCACTGGAAAATACCTCAGCCTGTAAAAATTCCATTCTGGTTAATGAAATAACAACGTAACAGATGTGCAGATGGTTACTGGTCGAACCTTCCCGAACGTGGCTGCGGATGTCATAGCTCATAATCTGAAGCATCATTTAGTGGATGATCTCCAATGTTGACTGTAATGGTAATATATGTAGCCGTGACGGCAGGTGCCATATCTCTCGCTGTTAACAGGCCGCCAATTACGGACAGGAACTGTAACAACCTTATCTTGGGAGACACGTAGCTGGTTAAGTGACAGGGGAATCGATTTAGATAAATGTCAAGAGTAAATTATCTTTGAACATCAGCTTGAAGTGGTATACATCATTGTGTTCGTATTTTGCAGGATAAATGCACAAAATGACTGTTAAGACACGAGTACCACATGTACCTGACAAATTCGTATTTCTTATTGCGAAGTACGAAATTCGTCTCTGATGACATTAAGAACAAGAAAATTAGGAGAAGGTCCTAATGATATGCAGAGAGTTACCGGCCCTGTAGAGTGAATGGGCGGTTGGATAGCATTGTGGTTAAAACGTCACATGGTTCGACCTGGTTCATTTCCCAACAAATGTGTATAGCCAATTTTTCCGTCACAAACCCCCAACCCCTCCCCTATCTGGTATATTGAAAACGTGGTTTAAACCCGACTTACTCTCTCACTCACTCATTTGTAGTGTTACCGACACACAAATATAATGAAAAGTTCCCTTAAGAAGCATTATAAAACACATGCTGACGCCCCCAGGCGACAATATATTTATATTTTGTTAAAGTGCAGCATAGGCGTTTGAACAACAGCAGAGCCCAGTGTTTGCCAACACATGCTAGTTCGCAGACACACACACATTGCTTGAATATGTTCATAAACATACCAGAGAGCACAGCGCAGAAACGTTGAGGTGAGGTGAGGTGAAATTGGGTTTAACGTCGCGTCCAAGATTATTGCACTTATATAGCGACGTGCATGCATTTGTGTGTGTGTCTGCTTGTACTAGAACGGACTGATGCCGATTTTATAGTGCTAGCCCACTGAGATACCATGCCGCAGTTTAACATGAATACCCCACTCGGACACAGTATACTGACTCCGAGCCGACCAGTCCTTGCTTTAACCCCTTAATGCCGAGCGCCAGACAGGGTAACAACAAGTACCATCTTTTAACGTCTTTTGGTATGACGCGGCCGGGGATCGAACCCCGGACCTTCCGCTCTCCGGGCGGATGCTCTACCACAAGACCACGGAGGCTGTTGCAGAAACGTTGAAGGCCGTGAACGACAACGACCTTGCGCGCCTCTAGCAACACGACATCCATAGAAGGCCATGATCAGCAATGAGCCAAGACCTTTCCCCATTGAACATGTCTGGGACGATGTAGGGAGACGTGTATGTCAACGTCAATGGCTGCCGACCACATTGGCTGAGCTTGGCCATGCGTTGCAAGAGGAGTGGGTCAGACTAGCCATTGGGAGACTCATGCGCAGCATGCCCTAGGGTGAATGTCATCGTGGAGGTAATACGCACTACTGATCCAAAACGTCAATTTTGAAATTTCCCATCTTACCCCTGATCGTTGGCGGTCACAACACTACTCTCTTACTTCACTACCGGTAGTAATGTTTCCAATGCCTTCATTATTACCATACAACTATTAGTAGAAACTAATATTTTTTACAATTTGGGAAATGTTATGTTATTTCTGGGTATGCCCTACTGTTTTAAGGAGTATATGTACAGTTGAGTGAGTGAGTGGGTGAGTTGGGTTTAACGCCGCTTTTAACAGTATTCCAGTTATGTCAGCTTAATGTGGGAGGAAAGCCCGAAGTGATGCAGGTCTCAGACGTCTACCACTTCGGTGAAACCCACGAGGACGGGTATGGTGCTGACAAACCTAGAAACATAATCGGGGCGAACCGGGATTCGAACCCAAAATCATAGGTTTCTGGCGTGTCCAAGGGACGCACAGCGAATCGCGGCGCCTTAGACGACTGGGCCACCCGTGTCCCCATATGTACAGTTGAGGTGAAAGGGGGTTTAACGTCGCGTTCAAGATTATTGTGCCAGGAAACGAGATATTTTTATTAACTACATCTGCAAAACCAGATATAGTTTAATTAAACTTATGAGCTTTTTTAAAAAATTTAATAAACATTTTTTATGAACAATTTTAACAGTCTGGAACATAAATATTTTTTACAAGCATTTTCTGGAACAAATTATGTTTTTCAATAAAATCCAAACTCGTGTGAAGCAGTGAAACACAAGAACACCTGGCGAAAGTACATCCTGTGGAAGCATGAGTTAAAGATATTGATGTGCACGTATGCCATGGCTAAACAGATGATCATAAATGCAAGACCACATGTACAGAAAATCAGAAAGTTTCATGGAATCGGATACAGGCATTTTTAACATGTGAA